TTGCCGGAAGAACCAACAATCGGCCCGGCCGGCTCTGCTCCTGGGCAAACGCATCAGCCATGGAGGGCGGCATACTTCCCAACCAACGCACTGCGCACAAAGGCTTCGGCGGATGAAGGAAATAATAACAAACAGATGCCAACCCAAAGGCAGCTTCCAGGACTGGGGCGCTCCACTGGCAGTTAGTCCTCGGTATTCTGTCGTGCCCCTTTCAGCCTCCCCTCCTGTCGCTCTACTACCCGCCCCGCCCCCGCCCTTGGGGTGGGAGGAGAGGTCGGCGTGGAGAACAGACACTCAGTGACGTCAGGCCATCTTCGCTCGCCGGGTGGCTCTGAAAAGATCGCGCAGCACTGATGCCCCTCCGCCAGTGGGGCTCCAGACATCGCTCCTCCTCCCTCGCCTCTCCGTGTTTCACTTTCCCACCTAGGTGTTTCCACCGTTCCATTGCCCTTCCCGCTGCTCCCTTCTCCCTCCTCAAGCATTTTCTTTTGTCCTCCCCTCGTCCCGTGTTGTGTGTGTGTGTGTACCCGCTACTTACAGCATCTCTCCGCGCCGTCAACGCCATTGATCGGTCGTCCGCCGCATCTCCTCCTCTCTGCCTCTCTCACTTCTTCGCCTCTCGCGCCCCCTTACAGAGACATGTCAGCCGTTCCTCTGTCGCTGGTGTGCTACTCCTCGAGTGATTCTGACTCGGACTCGGACTCGGATGTCCCACTTCCCAAGCGCCCCGCACAGCCTTCGGATGTCGCGGCGCCCCCCGGAAAGCGGTCGCGTCTTGCGCTGAGCCTGCCACCTCCGGCAGCTACAAAGTCCTCCAAGACACCAGAGGAGGCGGAGGAGGAGGAGGAGGAGATCGATGATCAGGAGGCTGCTCGCCGGCGTCGGCTCCAGGCCTCTCTGTCCCGGATGAAGGGGGAGTCCGAGATGGAGGATGGGCTGGGCCTTGGAGATCCCGGGAGCGCCAGCACCGGCGGGGTCTCGCAGTTGTTTTCCATGTTGCCAAAGCCAAAGGCCGAGGCTGCGCGCCCGGTGCCCGCGGCCCTGCGTCTGGCTCGAGGCCATGCCGCTGCGCGATCTGCCCCCCCGGCCACTGCCTCGGCTCCGATTGCTCGCGAGTCTGTTGCTCCGATTGCCGCTGTTTCCGATGAGGAGAGCGATCAACTGCCTGACTCGCCTGCCGGAGAGGAGTTCTCCTTTTTCTCGTTGGATGAGCCGGTGTCCGGTACCAAGCGCCGGGTACCCGGCCCCGAGCCCTCGATCACGTCAAGCGTTATGGACAGTCCGCCGGCTGTCGATCAGGCGTCTTCACTTCCTCCGGAGGAGGTGGAGGAAGTGCCGGAGACCGAAGACCCGGCTGAATCGGAGGACCTGGTTCCGCCCTCTTTTTTGGATGGCTGCGGGACAAATCCCCATGCGCTGGCCTTTGCCGCTGGGCAACTAGCCCAGGCAGAGGCGGAGCTGGGAGTCGATCCGACCACCGGGCAGCCTGTGGTTTTGTCCGACGCGCAGCGGGCCTACTCCATGGCGGTGTATTACAATTATTACATTGACCAAGCAATGAGCGCTGTCGCGACGGCAGCCACCAGCCTTGATGTGCCTGCTGGCGCCCCTCCAGGGATGGGTTCTCGAGCTGACACTTCGGCCAATGCTACTGCCTCGGCCACACCGATCATTTCCATCCGGGCCGCCGAGCAAATTGACATTCGCGCCTATCAGGTGCCCGATGAGAAGAATGGCCCCGACGTATGTTCCCTCTTTTGTTGTCTCCTCTCCCTCTCCCTCCCTCTCCCTCTCTCTCTCTCTCTCTACCCCTCTCCCTCTCCCTCTCTCTCTCTCTCTCTCCGTTCTTTCGGCCTTTGCCCTCCGCTCACGCCTATCCCTCTTCTCGCCTGATCGATTCGGCCACCAGTTCGTCTTCAAGCAGTCCAGTGCATACATCTCGCAGGCGGCCCGGCGTAAGAACCAGCTCTCGCAGGTGGAGCAGTTTTCCTTCTCCAACCAGCGTGATATCAATGAGCGTATTCAACGTGCGCGTGGAAATAACTTTTCTGGACCACGCTAGTGCCACAGACGGCAGGATGCTTCCCCTCCTCCCTCCATGTCACACTACACAATAGACAGACCCAATCTCTCCCGGCGCATCTCCCCTGAGCAGGCACTTTCTCCAGTATTTACATCGACAATACAGGAGGGGGAAGGGGGGGGGGGGGGGAGAGACACAGAGAGGGGGGAAAGGCTCACCGAGAGGTCGCTGACCCGGCAACTGGCATGCTGCTCGACTTAAGAGCGGTCCTTGGCCCCACGGAGGGCAGTGACTCGATGGATCTGCGCCGCGAAGGCATCCGGCTGACCATCCTGCTCGGACTCGGGGAAGTCCATACCGTGCGAGGCACGCACAAAGACATTGGTCTCGCGCTCCTCGGACGCGCTGATGGGCACGGTGGTCATTCCGGCGGCGATACGCCGAGCGGCGGCCTCCTCGGCCTGGGTGATGCCATGGTGGGCCTCGGATGTGATGGCCAGAATCCAGGGCTCCTTGGCCTCGCCAGCCGGCGGGGGGGTGTATGGCCCATGCTCGGCCTCCAACTTCTCACGCACTGGCAGCGACCGCGAGAAGCGATAGTTGCTCAGGGTGTACTCATGGCCGGGGAAGATCCACCGGCGCTCCTCGGCGATCGGGCACTCATTGGGCGGGAAGAGACGGCGCATGGCGGCATGCAACTGATCGCCAGTCCCCTCGAACATGCGCCCACATCCGCCGATGAAAAGCGAGTCGCCGGTAAAGAGAAGCTCATGTCCAGCCGGCACCGCGGAGCCAGTGCCAAGCTTCCGACCATCGAACTCTGTGGCCGTGTCCGGCGCATCGCCATCCGACAGCAGAGTAAAGGCAAAGGTCATGGCGCCCAGCGTGTGATAGGGAGTAAAGATGCCGCGCGCACGGACTCCGACCGGCGCAAAGTCCACCACCTCCCCATGACCCAGGGTTCGCGTCAGATGGGGGATGCGCAGGTCATTCCCGAGAACCGGTGGGCGCCGGGACTCCTCGAAGGAATCCAAAAAGTCCCGGACACCAGCGCAGTGGTCACTTGCGGTGGCGACAAACAGGAGAGGGAGAGAGGGAGACCAGAGGGGGAGGGAGGGGAAAGAGAAAGTACATGTTAGCGAAGTCCAGGTGCCGAGAGGGGATGCACATTTCCACGTCCGATGCCGGCCATCACGCGTGCTGGTCGTACCCATGGTGGTGGGTGATCATCACACCCTCGACGGCGTAGTCCTTCCCGGCAAAGGCAGTCTCCAGGGCGGAGAGGGCGGCACGCGAGTCGCCAACATCCACCACAACAGCTGTCCGCCGAAGGGTGTTGATCAGGGCGTAGGCATAGTTATCTGCCCGGTAGGGGATAGTCACCACACGAATGGACATGGTTCAGGATGAGGGGCGATCGGCAGGGGCAGAGAGGGAAGAAAGAGGTTGAGCAAGGGAAAACAGGAGGTCCAGAAAGAAAGCGGCTGCTGCCGTCGGTTAGTCTGTTGGTCGGGTTGTGGCGGCTTTTCGAGAAAGCACCCCGCTGGTCATCTTCCTTTCTCCACTTTATCGCCCTCCGGGCCATGTCAACCCGTCCCCCCCCTCCCCCAGCTGGCCCCCTCTTGCCGCCCGTGTTTGGCTCCGCCTATTTTTTTTCCCGGGCTCTCGCGCGGGCACCGCGAAAGGAACACACGTCCATTTTTGCTAGCCCGGTATGCCGACAGGATCGACAGAGACATGGTGCCAACGCACAGTCCTCAATCTCCGCCCCGGCCGCTGGCTAAACTGCCCCGTTAGGGTGTATTTGTCATGCTGCCGCGTGCCCCTCAGGACCCGGGTCTCGTCGTGAGGGGGAGAGGAAAAAAGTAACAAAGGCTCAAATGACCAGCCCTACGCCCTCGTTGTCGAGAGCAAGGGAGGACGGAGAGGAGGAGGAGGAAGGGGGGGGGGGGGGGCAGGGCACCACAGGTGTGGACGGGGCAAAAAGAAGAAGAAAAAAACGAGAGGGAGGGAGGACAGTCAGAGGAGGACACCCTGGTCCCCTTTGCCTACCGTCCAGCAGTGCGGGGCTTCTCGTCGTCACGGAAGCGCCAAAGCTTCAGGATGCGATCGTGCCCGGCAGTGGCAATGATCTCGGCATTGGCTGACACATCAACCCCGGCCACCGGGCCCTCATGATCTCCGAGATTGATGCCAAGCCCGGCCAGACCGCCAGAATCGGCCAGCGAGCTCGACGGCGGTGCCCGGAGGGCCATCCAATCCGGCGCTCCCCACAGGGCCAGGCAGCCATCCAGTCCGACCGAAGCAATGAATGAATGGCGAACAGGCTCCCAGGCAATGCGAGCCACAGGACGCGGATGTGCCGCCACCGTGGCCGACTTCAGTGAGGGGCTCGCATGGTCCAAGCGCCGGAGATGCGACATCCCCGGAGTCCCGGGCCGGGGGAGCTGCACCCGACTGATCGGATCCTCCGGGCGGCGGAGATCCCACACGCGGATCGTGTGATCTAGACTGGCGGTGGCCAACTGCACACCATTCAAACTGAACCGGCCAGAAGTGAGGCGCTGAAAGCGTTGTATGTGTGTGTGTGTGTGTGTGTACATACACATATGAGGGTGAATGTGTATGTATGCATGTGGGGCCGGCATGACAGTGAGCAGGGAGGGTCAGGAGTCTCGAACACAAAGGCCCAGCAATTCCTGCCGGTCGGCGACGACACGTACATCGGAATGGCCTCCCAGATTCATGATCGCCGAACGGGTGGCCCGGACATCCCATAGCCGGGCCCAGGCATCGAAGCCCGAAGAACAAAGCAACGCCCCATCCGGATGCCAGGAGACATCATGCACTTCCAGAGCATGGCCCTCCTGCAGGAGGAGTTCCTTCCCGGTGGCCGTGATCGATGCTCCAGTCACGGCCCCGGCGTCGCCACCGGCCGATGTGGCATAGTTCACATCCCACAGGCGCCAAGAGGTATCATGAGAGGCGGTGGCCAGCAGGTGGGATCCACCGACACCGCCCGGACTCGGATGCCAGGAAGCCCGAGTCACTCGGCGCGTGTGGCCAGCAAGGGTGCCCGCTTCGACGGCACTGTCTTGGCGGAAAGCCGGAGTCCCATCGGAGCAGGGGTTAGCGACAGGGCGATGGGAGACATCGGTGGCTGATGGGGCTGCTTTGACAGGCATGCGGCCGATGTATGCGCACCTGCCAGCCGACCACAGTCGAACAGTCCCATCGTCAGAGGCCGAGGCCAGACACACGGTGTCAGACGTATAGTGCTCCCCCTGGGCCAGTGGCCGCCAGGCAAGGTCATTAACGCGCTCACCCGGATGCCCTCGCCAGATGGTCATGCCCTCGACCGGGGCATCGTCCGTATCCATGGCATCTTCCGACAGGATCTGTCGGGTGGAAACCGGCGCACAATCGCTCGTGCCCATGACAGCGATGTGCCCGCCAAAGCCGGTGGCCGCGATCACTCGCGAGCAGGGGCTAAAGGCACAGGCGCTCAGGGGCCGAGGAGCCGCGGCCGATGATGCGGCCACATAGATGGTCTTGGTGTTGAAGGGCATCACATCAAGGGGGGAGGGGGGGGGGGCACCAGGGTGAACGTAGTCAGGAAGGTGAGCTGGGCCGACGAACAAGGGGAGAAACCAAAGCGCTCGAGACAAGGGAGGACGCACGCTCACGCGCTGTTGTGCGCGCCAGCGCGAGGCCGACGCCCGGACACTGTCGCCCGGGCGCTTGGCGGCCTTTTCCTGAGCCAGACGCTCGCGAGCACGGGCCATGGTCACCGAAACCAGGGCCGTGCGAACCTCCTTCAACCGATCGGACCCTTCGGTGAAGAATTCCTTGGTGATGGTGACCACATCCTCCAAGCTATCCTGATCGCCGGAGCGCGCGGCCACCGCCGCCAGGACCTCATTAATCCGAGGGTCCGGCTGGCCCGAGAGGAACTCTCGCAGGCGCATGCGCCGGTCATAGGCATCCTCGCCGAAGAGGCAGATCGGCTCCCCAGCAAAGCGCAGAGCCCGGCGCACGCGGGCATCCTCCGTCGGAAGGCGCAGGGTGCGGCCGCGCGCCCGCCGGGCGATGTCCCGCGCCTCCGGCGTGGCATTCGGGTCCAACGCAGCCGCAAACTCCGGCGAAACCAGTGACTGGCTGTGGGGGTGGCCCGGAGTGGTAGCGAGGACCGAGGAAAACATCCTTGCGGGTGCGAGGAGAGGCAAGTGGACGGGTGGGTGTGGCTGTATGTGTATGTGCGGCTGCGCGCGCGTGCAATTGGTAGGGGCAAGAGCGAGGCAGGGAACGGGAGGCGGATAGGTTGGAATGGAGGGGGGGGGGGTCTAGGCGCTTTTTTAGTCTGAGGCTGGAGAAACTAAAACGGCGGAGGCGCGACTTTTCTGTCACAAGGCCCTTTGAGGGGGGGGGGGGGGTCCAGAGGCACTGGCGTTTCCTGAGGGAAAGAGAGACAGAGAGGGGCCTTGTGGTCTCGGGGTTCGGTTGGCAGCATAGGATGGCAGTTTCAAGAGATGGCCACATGATAAATGACGCACGTGCCCCGACGCTTTGCAAAAGGGAAGTGCCGCCAGAGGTGAATCCACTCTTCGGCCGGTGCCAGAGGAGGGGGGGAGGGGGAGGGAGTGGTGGTCGTGGGAGGCAGGGATGAAAAATCCGTGGGGCCCGGACAAAACAGAGATGCAAGAGTGGACGCCGTGCACGGCGCGCGTGTGAGCGTGCGTGCTCTTTTTGAGAAATGTGTGTGTATTTTCATGGAAGTATATGTATCCATATGGCCGGGCAATGGGCCGAAGGGGAGAGTGGGGGCGTCCAGGGGGTGTAGTACGAGGCCATCGCTCTCCCCCTGCCCCACTATCGACTCCGGCAGGGGGGGGGTGGGGGGGGGGGGGGGCTCGGGCCTGTGCTGCTCTTCTTGCTACTCGGGGGGCAGGACCAAGGCGACGAGGTCATCCAGCGCATCTCGGCCATCCTCCTCGGTGCCCATGTAGTTGAACTGGGCAAATGGATCCTCATCCAGATGGGCGGCGGGCGCCGGAGCCGGAGCAATGGCCGGAGGCGGGATGGTGCCGGCCACTGGGAGGGAATTCGAAAAGTCGATGCTGAAGACATTGTTGGGCGACGACAGGTCAATCGTGTCACCAGGCGAAAGGGACCCGGTGGCACCGCCCTGGGGTTGCTGCTGTTGCACCGGACCGCCCAATGCCGAGGTCGGCTGAATATCAAACTGGGGGAAGCTCTGCATCATAACCATCGAGGTGTCTTCCAGATCAAGCAGGTTTCCGACCGAGGCACCCTGAGAGCTCGGGGACTTGGTGTGGCTGCCCGCACTGGTCGACGTGCCAGAGCCAGATCCGGCCGACGATGAGGACTTCGCCGAGTTGATGTCACCCTGAGAGCCGAAGAAGGAGAGGGCGAGATAGGGAGGGCGAGAAAGAGAGGGCGCCCCGTCAGAGCGTCCGAGAGAAGTACGGATTGTTAGCCGAGAGGCGAGCCAGGGACATGGAGGCAACAGCCGGAGGAATGAGCCCCCCCCCCCCCCCCCCCCCCCCCCGACTCCCTCCCCCTTCGCATTCCCGAGG